TATATCAGCCAATTTATATTCACCCAACTATTCACATATGATGAAAGAAAATTCTAAGAAGTTGATAGATTTTTGTTGTGAAATTTTCAAGATAATGTCTATATTTATTCAAAATTACTTTTCCTTCCAGAAATGTTTTCTTTTTCAATTTTTAGAAGTTGGGTCAAATTGCATCTATTCAAATACCAGAGAAAACATTTCAAATATTTTGACAAATTTAGAAGGAAAAAAATCAAAACACCTTTTTCGTGCCTTTGGTTTTCTTTTAGCAGTAGTGAACTGGAAATCACATACTCATACAGTTATAATTCACTAATACTGGAAAACATTTTAAAACTTGTGGGGATGAGGCTCTGATTTTATCCCAAGACTGATATGGACTGGTGTTTGTGGTTCACATTGTCTTTGGTAATTTGACTGTGCAATTTTTATAGGAGTACTATTTCTTAAAATAACCACTTTTTATTTTAGAAGAAAGCAATTCATCATGGACTGATTGAATTAATAAAGTAAATATCTAGACTTAACGAGACATAGAAAGTGCAAGTTCCTCTAATGTGTTCTACCCAGTGTTGGAGCATTTTTGCTAGAAATGGGATCACTGAAGTACTGGTACAAAGGGTGAGGAGATAAAACCTTACTCAGTCACCCTTTTAATCAGGCTTTGAGAAGTACAAAGTCCTATGTTTTAAAAGGCTTATATAGACCATTATTAATTAGTAGACCTGATAGATCAGTAGAACTAAGGTATGACAGCAACATGTAATTGATAAGGAGACTTGGAGTGATTATTGCCATAATGTTGATGAGCAGATGTTAGAGCTTCTCGGTGTCACAACTTCTCCCCATTACAGCAATGTCTTCACTAGACACTGCACGTTACACCCAAGAAATCAATGACTGAAAGCTGAATAGATAAATGACATATCTTGTACTGTGCAGACCTGTAACAGTGCCCGAAAACCTCATAATGTGCCTTATCCAGTGGCCTGAGCTGGTTTTTTTAGTAGATTTGAATGAACATTACAGCTTAGTCTCATTCTCTTTCAAAATTAAAGAAGAAAAAGATATTTTCTGTTACAATCTTTATTTGACAAAATGAAGTAATTGGTACTGGAAATCAGTGAGCAGTCAGGAATTGTAAGCACTGTCCTTAGTAAAAATTATTTTTGAAGGCACAGACAGTTCTATAGAATAAAAAATTTAATTTGATGAGAAATCGTGGTACCACTTTAATGCCACTATTCAGCCTTCTGCAATAAAAGATCTCCACAGGTCTCTATTTTTCCAATTTAAAATAAACCCTATCCTGGAATTAGAGTAAAGCAAAACACCTGTTTTCAAGTTTGTAGATTAAAACGTCAGGGTTTTAGCATAGTTATATCAAAATATGCAAGTAGATGTTCCAAAATCAGAAAAATCCTTGAAAGTTTTCTCAATGACTGCAATTTCTTAATAGCTTTTTAAAGAGCTTCTTTTTTTTTTTTTTTTTTCAGATTGTAAAAATAATCCTTAGCTTTTTAGGCTTTAGACATTTTTATGCTGCATATTATATGTGATGGGCACTGGCAAAAGTCAGAAGACATAGTTACTCTGATCAACCTAAGTTTCCTTATAAATTGGAGAAAATACTGTAACTGTATAAAGGATGTATTAAGGATTTTGACAATCTACTTCTCCTTATGTTTGAAAGTAAACTTAAAACATTTCTTGAATTATAACTGCAATAAATAACCAACGCATACATTGTCAATGATAATGCCTGATTGACCATGTATGCAGAATAAATGTAAGAGGTTTTTATTTCTTATTTAAGAGAGAAGGATGGCTGAGCAGATATCTATTTATTTATCTAAAAATTATTTTATCATTGACAATTGGTTTGTTTAGTCTGTCCTTGAAGTGATTTTAGTGGTAAACACTCATTACTGCCTTGCTCTTGGAACATGGTATCAATTCTTCAGATGAATATGGTTATTCTTAAACAAATATATTAATTAGTTATCCTTAAACAAATATATTAATTTTTCATCAATACACATTTTCCAAGTCTGAACAAGCACTACATTTACATTCATACGATCCTCATTTTACCATAGCACTGTAAAGTTTTGGCCTAGATTAATGGGAAGCAATGAGAGAGAGAGAAGAAAGAATTAATATACAAGTCACTCAGACTGTTAGGAGAATTCTGTTCATACTTGTAAATCATTACAAATTCATACTCAGATTTTATCTTCTACACAAACTACTTGACTGCTTTTGAACATCTACTTTTTTCATACATAATGTGGAGACATATCTGTCTATAACAACAAGTCAAATTACTTTTGACTATTATCTTTTTTTATAGCAAATATTAATTAACTTCCCATTCATAAGTGTGAGCTTCCCTGGTACACCACAAAAACATTCCTTGGTAAGAGTACATTCCTATTATACTTCATTCTTTTTCTGAATGGAGAGGAGATAGTATGGCATGGTACATGAAATGTAAGAAGGAACCTAGAATGGGGACACAAGCCAAATGAATCCTGTAAGTCACACTTGGTTGAAAATAGGTCAGTAATTGTACAATTTTTTCATGTAAAATGAAAGTAAACTAACAGAGAGCTTGAAAAGGTCAATTAATTAATTTAATTTAAAATCTCTTTTTTTTCTACTAGCCTTATTTCCTAGAATGATTTTGATAATGACTAGGAAGTAAATGAAATGGAATTGAGGCCTTATGTGTCCTCTTTGTCATAATCATTAACTGTTTTTTTTCTTTTTATATTTTTCATATCTCATTGTTCTGCAAATAAAAATCCAGTCAGTTTCTGGATTATACATTTTATACACTCCAAAATATGCTTTAGTGAAATAAGTATGACTGAATTCAACTAAATTGTGAACCAGCTTAAATTCTTCCTCCTATGAGATAAAGAGGTTTAGAGAAAGAGAGAAAGTTTAGAGAAAAAGGTCACAGTGGACTACTTACGGCAACTTGTAGCCTTAACAGAACAATATATTATCAAATGAAATCATGTAGTTTCATGTTTAAATCTTGGAAGAAGAAAGATTCAGGGGCAGAGTTTACTGACTCAACTCCTTTTACAAATGTTTTTCACTTATTCTTACATATCTTAAAAGGTGACTCTATCAATCAGAATTACTAATGCTGCGACTTTCCCCTTCTCCCCTGTTCCTGACTAAAAAAAGCATATTAAACAAGGTGGAGGGCAGCTGTAATTTTTTGCACTTTGTCCATCACTTCAACATTTAACTTTTCAACACAGAATACATGCCTGTAGGTTTCTGCTTTGGCTATGACTATTCTGAACAGTGTGACCACTACATAAGAGAAGAGAAGGATGAATCTCCTATGAAGGCTAAGAATACGGTGTGATTTCTGTGATGGAATTCAAGACATCAGAGTCTTGATCTAAACTATCACTGCATGGACTGCAAGTCACATCCCTTCTGCGAAATAAATACTACTTACCAGTTCTAAGATATAAAACATTTCAGAAGTGCGAAAGGTTCATTAAAGAAGCCCATGTTAAAGGTGAAGGTTTAGATGGCAGTTTAAAGGGATGAATTATTTGCTCTGGTGTGTGTGTGTGTGTGTGTGTGTTGATATGCTGTCATCAGATTGTTACTACTCTATAGCAACCAGTGTGGAATGGGGAGTATTGTGTATAAATCTAGGTTTACATTTTTCTTAAAGAATCTCTTTAAGTTAGCTTAGCATGGTGGAGTGACTCCATTTGGAAGCATCGTAGTATAACTGCATGTAATTAAATGTACTGGAATAGGTTATCAATATACTGATTCCTATGTATAAATTAAATAATAGAAATCCTCCATAGATTAATTTGTCAGGCTTTCTCACAAGCAGCAGCGTGATAACTTGTGTGTTATGAAACATGAAAACACAACAGAAATGGGACAAATATATGCTAGTTCAAGACATTTGCTTGGTATGTCACTCTGTAGTAGCCATCCAAAGATTCCTCCAGCTCTTTGCAGAAGTGCAATCACTAGAGAAGCAGCATGGTGCAATCTTCAGTCTGTGTAAGACCAAGTAAAATCAACCCTTAAAGGGTTTATAGGTAATAAAGCCAGAAAGATGGAAGAAGTTTGTTCTCTGAAACCCACCATTTGTGTGACCTGATAAGTCTTCACTCTGTTATAAAGGATTTGAATGTTATGTTTCTGCTTCGAAGTACAGCATTTTGCATGGGTGCTCTTGTGCCTCTGCTGTACCACTCTGGGGAGGTCCCTGGAGTTCCCTTTCAGTGCTGTATTTTGCAGACATACCACGGAAAAACTAAAGATGGGAACAAGAACAGCAGGGGCTTTTGTGGGAGACTGAAGGAGGACTAAGAGCATTTTTAGGTGAAAAGGTGATTTACATGTGTGTTCCTACCTCAGAAATGCAAGCGGCCCTGTGGGAAAACGTAAGCTTGTGCTTATTGAAGACTTAAGAGTTCCAATACATACTTTTCCTCTGTGACTGTCAGGAAGGTTAGATCTACAACCCTTGCTACATAGCTTTGGCTAAATTTAACTGTTCGATTCTTGGAAAGACATATCCATAGGATTATAACACAGCTGTGGAAAATACTACTGTTGTTTTGGTAGGTGATTTATGAGATAAGGTTACCCAAAACCAAATTTCTTTATTTTTACATACATATAGGCTGTTGTAGATGATGTTAGGATCTAGAGAAAGAGGGAGGTGTGCAGCTGAACAGTGTCAGGGAGCAGTCATAGCACCAGCCAGTGCTAATAAAGAGGCCAGTTCCTCTACCACTGTCACCTGCTTGTGTGACTAGGACACAGCAGACGAACACATAGCAAACTTTTCCTCTTTCTCCTGTAAAGATGTGTCATTGCAATGAATTGCAAAGCAGTTACGGTTTGGTATGTGAAAGCTGCGTGCCCTTGCTTACATTTGCTGCTGTATTTCAGTCACACGCTTATTACAAGGTGTCCTGTTTCTATTCCCCCTGCAGGTTCAGGTCCTTCGCAACGCAGGGGAAGAAGTGACCCTAACCGTATCCTTTCTGAAAAGAGCACCTGCTTTTCTCAAACTGCCACTGAATGAAGATTGTGCATGTAAGCCTTTATTACTTGACTGGAAGAAAACTCTGCTCAATGCACATATGAACACTTGCGGTTTATGAACCTACTGTGCTTTGAGAGTGATTGACAGAAGCTTTTTCAGCTAGTGTTCGCCTGAATATGAGCTGCTCATCTTGCCAGGTCCTGTATTAACATTCACCTCAAGCAAAAGATTATCATCTTTGTTTGACTAACTAACCACCAGGCACTTGGTTTATGTGAATCCGGAAAGTTGCAATTAAGTCAATGCAGTTCTATTAATTTACAGTAGCTTACATTCAGGTGCATTGTATTTAAAAGCCATTTTTGAGGCATCATCAGAGACCACTGCAATTTGGAAGAGCTTTGTTTTCTAAATGTGAAAATGAGATTGTATATTTAGAGGGCTTAACTTCTCAATTTAAAATTCAACCAGAGGCTTTGGTGAAGGTGGCTCTGTACCTAAAAATAAATTAATCTAGCTGATTAGTATTTTGTTTAAGTCCAATAGAGTTTTAGTCAACTAACCCCATAAGAAACATATGGAGACAGCTACCTTCCTTTAATTATATTAAATTATAAGTGTGGGTGCATAATTATAAAAAGTTGCAGCATACCTAAACATCTATGTATGTGTGGGCCTCTGGCTTTAGTCACTCCTTTCTTTTTGCTTCCATCTCCCAAAAGGGTAAAATTAATTGCTTAATTTTTAAGTAATGAAACAACAGGTATTTTATTTGAATGCTACTTAACTTTCAATTTTAAGTTAGTAGAACTCAAATAAACAGAATTATAAAATGATCTTTTAGTATAGTCATTTGTTGAGGTAGTGTCTTTACCTTTCACCCACCTATCATATTTTAGTAAGATTAGAGAAAATATAGAACGGTAAAAGTATTTTCGTACTCTTATGTAAAAACATATTCCAGTAACTCCTTGCTCCTTTTACGAAAGTAGAGACAGAGTACAGAGTAATGAACAGAAACATGCATTTGAATAGAGCGTATTATATATTACATATCAGATGTCTCACTGTAACTTCCTAAACTGGTGCAAGAACAGTTGAAACTGTAAACTTCTTAGCCTATAACAAAAGCATTGACATTGTCTGACTAGTTGCTTCCAGTGAAGAACAAATGAGAAAGTTCACACTTTCCTTCTGTTATCACATTTGCAAAATACTTTGTTTTGTCTTCCTTACCAAGCAGAGTATTAACATATTTTTAGCAAAGCACCAGGGAAAGGTGTCTTGATCCAAAGTAAGCTCCACTCAAACCGCAAGATAGATGTTGGCCACTTTAGAGTTTGAGGTTAGGATGCTGACTTATAATATGAGGCTGAATGGAGAAAATATATACATGTCAGACGAAACTAAAAGGAGGGGGGGATGCATACCTGCACACACACAGAAATTTGAACTTCAGTGTTATAGATTAATGAAAATTTTTCTGTGTATTCATGTTTGTACTAGGTGCCCCCAGTGACCAAAGCAGTGGCACATCTTCCCCACTGTGTGACAGTGGTTTGCATCTCAACTACCATCCCAACAATACGGTAAGAGCTTACATTTCCTTGATGTGATTACATAGGAAAATAGCACCAGAAGAGTGAAGTGAAAATAACAAATAGAAGACAGCAACATAGAAGGAGCTGTAATTAACATTGGAGATAGATGGTTCCACAGAGGGCAAAAACTGTTGCCAGATACTGTGGCCTGGAATTAAACTAAGACAAATCAGACCAGCAGAGATTATGCCCCAATAGACATGATGATTACTATTTTTATTTGCGCAATAGGGACTTTACAAAAGCTTGTTCTTCTAGCTCTATTTGGACAGCATAAGAATTTAAATAAAATATATTTAAAAATGGCAAAAAACAGTGTCAGAACATTTTTTTCCAAGGTGTTTGTTTAATTTATTATTTAGAATTTTTGGAAAAGCTTCTTTCAACTTCTAATAAAAAGATACACTTTTCATTTTCTTGAAAGGAGGTTACTGAGGTGTGTGTTTGTGCCTGTTTTTTAAGGTTTGTGCATTTTACTTTTAGTAGCTAGTATTACAAATACTAGTAAAGAATGATAACATTATGGAGGAAAGTCCCTTTAGGATGAAATTCTACATACAAATCTATATTCAGATTTTTAGTAAGAGATGCCTTTGTTTTCTTTATAGTGCAACAAAGAGATATTAACAATTTTCTTACTCAGAAAATCCAAAATGTCTGTTTTTTTATACAGGTCTGATGGGACTTTTGGTGTGTATTTGACTGTGTGATAGATGAAGACAGTTGCATGAAATAAAAAGCACTGAATGAATAAACTAATAAACAGCATATTTATTGTAGCTATGTAAAAAATTTGAGAGTGTTAACATTGTTCAACAGACCTAGCCATTTCTTTTTCTGGCTTACCTTAATATTCTATTTAACAAGTAAACTTTTTAAACAGAAAATGAGAGACTGAAAAGTCAATAGCAAAGATTTTAAGGCTATTTATAATCTGAAATTTTTGGGATTTATGCATGTTTATATGAGCTGTAATTCATAAAAATGAGATATAAACAGTAGCATCAAGAACGTATGTTAGTCAAGTAGTGTTAATAAAAATATGAAAATACAACAACATCATAAGTAACAACTTATCTCAACAGCTATTGTATGTATGTAAAAAGGCTGTTGCAGCAGATCTTAAGGTTATCCTGCTAGCCACCTCAAATCTAGTTGTGCTTTTAGGATAAAAATCATGTTTACATTTGTGAATCCTGTTTCTACAAGAGTCAAAACTGATCTAAATTAGCTATAATTTGTATTTGAACTGATAATAATTTACTGAAACATAAGTCTTCTTCTTTCAGTTAAAATAATATAATCAGCTATCATGAGTCTATAATTCTCATGATCCCTAAATCAGATTCTTCTAATGAATACAAGAATGTGGGTCTTACCTCAGATATGCCCTTGTAATAGGGAATGAATGTTTCATAAAACCAAATGAGACCTATGTTCCTAAACGTAAAAAATAATTCCTGAATTATGTACAACTCTTACGTCACGGTCCTTCCCTTCTCCCAGGAGATTCTGCAGTATATCTTACTGTTCATGGTCATAGTCTATGTCTTAACTTACAGCCTTGGTGATTGACATGAAGGAGACCTTCTGACTCAAAAATTTGGAGTAGACGAGATTTCTTTGGTCTTTTTTCAACAACTGGTAGGGTTATGAAAGCTAAAGGTGAGGTTAAGATTCGTATTGCAGCTGAATCTAGGCCTACAGTTTACATTTAAACCTTTTGTTGCATTTCAGCATTTTTCCTATGCTTAATCACAGTTGAAAAAAAATTCCTGGAAGCAGATAGAACATTTAAAATTCAAGGCATTATTCAGAAAAACATCCTAGGTTAATCTTTCTATCCAGTCACTTATTTATTTGGGCTGAAACTATGGAATATTTCACTAGAGATTCAATGTTTCAGATATGTGAATCTACTTATGAAAGCCCTTCTGTTCAGCTAAACTATTGTTTGTAATGATCTTTTCTCTACAAAAATTGTATTTTTTTTGTTTTATTTTATATACATAAAAGATATATGAACATATGTCTAAAAATAAAGTCCAGCTTGGACTACATAGGTCTCAGCACTCCATAGATCATAGAATTCCACATATCTTTGTAGAAAATCACATCACAAGGTATAATTTTTTTTAACATTTATTTTATAAAAGATACAGGTAAGAAAAAAGGTGAAGCCTGAGGCAAAAAAAAAAAAGTCTAAGTAATGTAGAATCAATAGCTACAATTTTACTGATACAGTGAAGGTACTACATACATTTCAGATATTACAGAATCACAGAATCAGAGAATGGTTTAGGTTGAAAGGGACCTCTGGAGATCATCTAGTCCAAGCCCCCTGCTCAAACACGGTCATCTAGAGCATATTTCCCAGGATCGCACCCAGATGGGTTTTGAAGATCTCCGGTGAAGGAGACTCCACTACCTGTTCCAGTGCTCTGTCACCCTCACAGGAAAAAAGATCTTCCTCAGGTTCAGATGGAACTTCCTGTGGTTCAGTTTATGCCCAATGCCTCACATCCTGTCACTGGGCACTGCTGAGAAGAGTCTGGCCCAATCCTCCTGACATTCTCCCTTCAGATACTTGTACACGTTGATGAGATCACCTCTCAGTCTTCTCTTCTCCAGGCTGAACAGGCCCAGCTCTCTCAGCCTTTCCTCATAGGAGAGATGCTCCAGTCCCCTAATCACCTTCATAGCCCTCCGCTGGACTCTCTGCAGTAGTGCCATGTCTCTCTTGTACTGGGAGCCCAGCACTGGACACAGGACTCCAGGTGAGGCCTCCCCAGGGCTGAGGAGAGGGGCAGGGTCACCTCCCTCCACCTGCTGGCAACACTCTGCCTAAGGCAACCCAGGATCCCATTGGCCTTCTTGGCCACAAGAGAGCATTGCTGGCTCATGGTTTAACTTGTTGTCCACCAGCACTCCCGGGTCCTTCTCGGCAGAGCTGCTTTCCAGCAGGTCAACCCCCAGCCTGTTCTGGGGCATGGGGTTATTCCTCCCTGGATGCAGGGTCCTGCACTTGCCTTTGTTGAACTTCAGGAGGTTCCTCTCCGCCCAGCTCTCCAGGCTGTCCAGGTCCCTCGGAATGGCAGCACAGCCTTCTGGTGTGTCAGCCACTCCTCCCAGTTTCGTATAATCATCCAGGTCATTGAGGAATACATTGAACAAGACTGGACCCAGGACTGACCCCTG